GCACACGATGAGAGAATATCTTTTAGACACCCCAGGTAAAGGCCTCTGCTCACACCGTCGGGGCACACATGTAACACTCACCGGCAAGAAGGAGTCGGGAGAGTTTCGCACGGCAGCCAAGAAAGTGTACCCAGCCAGCATGTGCAGTGCAATAGGTAGAGCAATGATAGACCATGTTTTACTAGCAGCGGATCTAGACACATACATGGAACCCGACCCACCAGACCCCTCATTGTTACAGTTGTTTGTGCCATCGCTATTTGACGCTGAAAGCGGCCGCCCGCTGTACGGGCCAGATTTCGCCATTGCCAAGAAAAGCAGAAAACCCACTGCGTTCAGCAGATTGCGAGGCATCTTACACCCCAATGAGGAGAGTCTTGGGCAGGGAGATCCGCCATCTGAGGAGCACACCTCCACTGGGTCTCAACATTTGGAGGCAAGAGTTGCATCCCAGTCAACCCCACCTCCTCCTCCTCCTCGTCCTCCCCTCCTCACTGTGGAGCTGCGTGAACGCATTGAGCGCAACAGGAAAGAGGCAGCTGTTCGCCGCAAGGCAAAAAGGCAGGAACAAATGCGCATTGCATTGCCAGAGCAAGGAGTTTTATTCCCAGAGCTGGCTACAAGGCCAGCGCGGGGGACACCAGCAGTGATAGCAGCAGCAGCCACGTACGGGCCCAATGACATAAGATATTGGCTAGTTCCAAGCCAATAATGTCGCAAGGCCCTACAATGACCCCTATTATTCGATACGCACACACGCACACACACACACACACTTCACACACGTGGCTGCAGCATGAAATGTTTCAATAAGCTTCTCGGCCGACAGACAGATCACCTAATTTGGGGCATGAGGAGGGTAGTTGGGTACGGAGGGGTCAGCAGGTTACACCGCAGGCCAGCGACCGCGGCAGGCCCTCCTCCGCCATGCCTTCCAGAATTTCGAGTGCCGCAAGGCCGGTATGGGAGGATGAGGAGGAGGAGGAGCCTGCAGGTTTAGTGTTTCTTTCTCTCTTTTTGCCGGACACTGATCCGTGAGGCCTCAGCGAGGCCTCAAGCGGGTGGCAGGTTGGGGATCGTGGTGGCTTTTTAGAGCATGCAGCTCCAGACTGCATGCTCAGAAACTGTTTTTGAGTTTTACTCCTCCTTGTGGCGCGCCGTACGGGCGCGCCCCAGACGGCGCTGAGATGCTTGACGCGTCCTCCTGCCGAGTCGATCCGATCCGATCCGATCCTCCCTCCTCCCCCTTCCCTGTTAATTGAAGAATGGACCTCTTGACGGCAGGGAGTTCTACGATGCTGCGACATGGGACCTGCGCGTCGAAGGGGCATTCAAATCGGGATTTCGCCGACGATCCTTTGGTTTCCTCGGAAGTTCAGCAACCCGCCCACCCCTCGCGCCCTTCGTCAGGCAAGAGCGTTCTCAGCCCCGCTGCGCCCAACTCGAAGGATTGCCCAGGGTCCAAAATCCAGAGCCCGTTTCGCCAGAATGAACGCGCTGGTTTGCTGCCCAACAAAATACACAACAATGCACCACTCGTTCCCTCATCGACTCTGGATAGACGATTTGGCCCAGAGCACCAAGGGATCAAGGAGTAAGATTCGGCAGCTCTAAGTAATATCACCGACGACACTTGTGGAGCATTGCAGAAGCGGACGTTGCATAGTGCAATAAAGCAAATAGTACGATGCACGCACACGGAGGATGCTAAATTCATGGCGCAGGTTTCACGGTGGAGGCACAAACTCGGGTATCCGACTGGATGTCGGCGTCTTGCCAAAGCTGTTCGACATCAACACACGGAGAAGTCAGCAAACATGGGTGCCAACATTGCCAATCACGTCAAAGCAACCAGAAACTCCCGCATCACATCCAATACGAGCGCCAAGGACCGTATGCTGTTGGTTCGTACGCGCATCAAATACATGGCGCGGCTGGGCATGTAGTCAAAATACATCGACGCCGCCATGGTCATGCATGTGTTTCTTCCTCTGTCGGCGGGTGTCTCACCGCGTCGCTTGCGCTCCAGGGAGAAAAGGAAATCCAGGAGCTAGCTACTGAGTGTCTGCAGCTTTAGTTTCGGATGTGGGCTCACGAAGAAGCTGATTTAACTCTGCACGTCTCATGGCTTGGCCGAAAGCAATTCAGAAGTTTCGCGACATGGGAATTCAGAACAAGCCGAGGAACATCACAAGCCCCATAGGGGCTGCCATCTGCTGTTTGTTAGAGACGGGCTGGGCCCCAAACTCGACGGACTCGTCGAGACGTCCAATAGCAGACGGCACCGTAGTCGATTGGAATTTCTCACCAGCAATCCCACCAGCCCTTAGGGCGTAGGTGGTATAGGGTGTCTTGTCTTCCATCTGCCCCTCTTCCCCTTCGGGGAGGGGTTCACCCCTCCCCCTAACCCCTCCCTTGGACCTGGACGGGGAGTCCCAAGGGTCTCGGGCGTCCAAGATGGCCCAATATCGCTCCAAGAGCGCCTCGGAGAGCCCAAGATGAGCTTCAAGATGGCTCAAGATATCCAGAGATGCCTCCAGATGGCCCCAAAGATGCTCCAAAAGGCCCCAAGACCGTTCTAAGACGGCTCCAAGTTGCCAAAGAGCTCCCCAAGGAGGCCCCGAAGAAGCCACAATCCTTCCAACCCCTGAGGAAAACCAATGTGTTTGCTTTCTCGCCGTTTCACTTCCGATGGCCATTCGAGGCCTCAAGATGGCTCCAATATGGCCCAAGAGGGCCCCGGGAGAGACCCAAGAGAGCCCCAAGACGGCCCCATGGCGCCCAAGAGCGCTCCAAGAGCGCCCCAAGAACGCCCCAAGAGGCTACTTTTGGGGCTCCCAAGGGGGGGCGGGAATTGAGGAACACCTCTTGTTTGATCGATGTCCTCCAAGATGGCCCCAAGAGTGCCCCTAAAACTCTTAAGGGCGCCCCAAGAGGGCCCGAAGATGCGCCTAGACAGCCCCAAGAGGCGCCCAAGAGGCATCCAAGAGCCTCCCAAAATGCCCCCTAAGAGGCCTCAAGAGGATCTCCGAGGCACCCAAGGCGCGCAAAGAAGCCCCTGGGCTCGCCTCGCCAAGATGCTCGTTCTCCTCCTCCTCCTCCTCCTCCTCCTCCTTGTCCACGGTCTCTTCCTCCTTCCTCCTCATCACCCTCCTCCTCCTTCTACACCACCATCCTCCTCCTCTTGCGGTATCGGACGGCTTTCCCCGCCCTATGTTCTTCTGCATGCTCCCCCACTTCCCTGATCAATTCAACTCCCCTGGACATCGTTTCTGGATGGGCTAGTGGGGATACGTGAAGTGACAACAATGTTGTTAAAAACAGGGGTGTTGATCTCTCTCGTGACTTGAACAGAGAAGTTCAAAAAGGATCGTGAGAAGATGTGCTGGGCCACAGCCAGCAAACAATGTTGTGGTTCCGGAGGAAGGAGACAACATGGAGTCGTAGATTCATTGCTCTCGTGCGGCAATGATTGACACACCACACGGACACAGACTGGCAGAGTTGATGACGGCGGTGGCGACAGGAACGACTTGGCCTCGTGAGCACCGCAATCGACTGTGCGAGATGTGGCAAGGAACCCGAGTCGCCCTCCCAAAGGTGCTGGAGCTGCGAGGCGAACGTTGGCTCAACAGCCTACGAGAAGACCGAGTTCCTCGTAGTCGAGGCTTACACGCAGTTCGAGTCAGCTGACGGTCCTGGGCTAAGGGAACTGCTGCCACAATCTTGGGTATCGGCGCCATTGCCCACCGTGACGGGCGACTGGCTGTGTGGAGACAAGATCAATGAATTCACCAGAGGCGCTGCTGGAGAAGGCACACGAGACATCCCACTGTTTTCGCTTGGGTTTGCAAGCGGGCAGGGAGTCTTTACTGCCCGGTCTTCGCGGAGTAGGTGACGGATTTGTCGTGGCTGAAGACCCAGCTGCGAAATCCAGCCGTCCAGAATCTCACATTTGGGCAAGAGTGGAAGGCCATGGATGGTATCAGGACGAGTTCAAGAATGCGCCAGGCCCAGGTACAAACGTCTACGCCAACATCGGCCACGATTGAAAAAAACAGCGGCTGGTCTCAGATTCATTGTTTGCGAATCCCTGTTAGCTGGTACAGTACAGCTGTCGTCCAAAGGCATTATCCAAAGTGGCTGATCCTTGTGAATACTGCTGCTGCCGCAATCGCCGAGATCGCCGAACACCGAGCCCGCCCTGATGATCAGACACTCTGAAGGCACAGCAGAATGAGCATCGTGCGTTCCTCATTAGGCATAGACTCCTTCGAGCAATATTACATGCGATCGAGAAGGAGAAGGAACTAGGCCCCTTGGGCCACAAGTCTGATCGTACTGTTCCGCCCCCACCTGGCCCTAACCAACGTTCTGTCTTTCCGTCCCCCATAGTCTGACGGACAATGGTCGAGGTTGCTCAATGTGCCGAGGGTCTGCCACACTCAGCACGGTCACAGTGGCGGAATAGTCCAGGCTTTATTTTGAAACCTCTAGGGGGTATGTTCTCCTCTCTTTCCATGGGGGCTCGTCTGCATTTAGCTGGGGGGTGGGCACAAAGAAATCGTACAATGCAGCTTCACCCGGGTCTTCATATATGGTTCTGCGTTTCGCGCGGGTTCTTCAACCAACTGAGGGCCACCAAGAACCTCAAGGAAGAGCGTCACCGTAAACTCAACCCAACGCGACAAGAAAATCTAGACTCGATCCAGGCCCACTGTGCGGAGACAGCTCGGCGGGGGAGATTTTAGATGGGTGTGGCGGTTCGGACGGAGCGAGCGGGGGAGCGGCGCGCGGCGCGCCCACCGCGCGCGTGCCGCCCGTTCAACAACTTCAAGCACCGACGCAACCATTTGACTCCCCGCTGCGGCCGCGTGCCGCCACTGCTTTCGGCTGTCGGTTACAATCCATCCTCCTCCTCATTTAACCTGCCTTCTATTCTGGATTCCTTATTCCTCCTCCTCCTCCTCCTCTTCCTCCTCCCTGATCCTCCCGATGTCCTGCAGCAGCTCCAGACACTGCTGAAGGTAGTAGTCTTCCCCCAGCACGCTCCAGTCCAGCTTATCGATGCAGGCTGCCCAGCCTCGGGCACGAGCAGTCGTCGTCGTCGCCACAGCCACCGTCGTCGTCGTCGTCGCCGCCGTCGTCGTGTCGATGCCGTCGACGTTAATGTTAACGACGCCTGCGAAGGGGCAAGTGATTCCGAGGAGATCGCCCAAAGAGAGCAACAGTCCCAACTCGCCCTAAAGGTCCTCCCCGACAAAGTTCGACCCCACCCCTGTCCCAAATGCGTGCGTTCGACAAAAGCGCTTCGAGCCGATGAGTCCGCCTCCTTCTCATCACCAATCCTTCTCCTCTGCCTCCTCCTTCTCTTCCTCCAAAGGCTGCTCTGGTTCCTCATATGTTTGGTGGGTGAACCGTGTGAATGTGTTTTTCTAATGCGAGGAAGCGTCTTTCACCAAAGAGTCTGATGTCCCTGTCCAGAGTGGCTCCCGCCCTCTCGAACCCCTGAACAAGCAGAACGATCGGAGCGAATCATCCTTCCCATCCTCGTCGCACGTCATCCTTATCCTCCCCCTCCACATCCACACTGCCATCTTCCCCCGTCCTCCGCCTCCACCCAATCATCCTCCACGCCATGCACCTCCTGTTCCGTCCTTCCTCGATGTCATCTCTCCGTGTCCTCCTAACCATCCTTCGTCTCTTCCTCCTCCTCATCCTCCTTCTCTGCGTCCTTCTACTCCTGCTCATCCTCATTCCGTCCCTCATCAAAATTATCATCGTTATCCTCCTCCTCATCACCGTGATCCATGGTGATGATAGTGATCATGATCGTGGGCATGATCATGGTCACCATCATCATCACCATCACCATCATCATCATCATCATCATCAGCATCATCAGCAGCAGCATCATCAGCCTCATCCTCACCCTCACCCTCATCTTCATTCTCACAATCATCATCATTAGCATCATCATTATCATCATCATCATTATCATTATTATCATCATCATCAGCATCATCGTCGTCGGAGTCGTCGTCGTCGTCATCTCTACTCCTAATCCTTCAGTTCGCCCACTCAGCATCGTCCTCTTCATCACCAGTATCACAATCACCAGGATTTAATGACAGCGTGATCCTTCGTCATCGTCAGCATCATCATCGTCAGCATCATCATCCTCATCACCACCACAATCATCATCACCAGTAGCATCATAATCATCATCATCATCATCATCATCATCATCATCATCATCTGAATCCTCCTCTTGATCACCATCACCGTCACCATCGCCATCATCAACATGTCACATCGGAAGCAAAAGAAAGCACTCCATATCCCAAAACAAACGGGCGGCGGGGAAAACAATGAAACACTGTAATTGTCATTCCCCAAAATTGCGGCGGGACGGAAACGCTCATGTCAATCATTAAAAAAAACCAATAAAAAAAGTGGCGGCGAATCTTCTTTGAACCAGGCTCGATTCATTCTGGCGGGCTGCGCTTTAGAATCAGGCGCCTTGCGCGCGCTCCAGGGCGCCCCCGCCCAGCGCTCCCAAGCGCGGGCGCAGGCGCTCCCAGGCGCCAGACTGCAGTCGGCGGAACACATGCACGTGCTTCATCTTCTTCATTTTGTTTCGAGGCGCAGGCTCCTGTCGAGACGCTGGACCTCGTTTTCGAGACGCTCTTAGACGTGGTTGGTCGATGGGCAGGGGGCCGCGGGGTGGGTCGCGCGGTGGGTTGCGGGCGGGGCGGCGACCACAACGGCAAAACACACCCAAGGAGGATGTAAGAACGTTCCGCTACCTCGCTCAGAGCTCACATATGCATTTGAACCGACGAAACATGACATGGTTGACTATCGATGTCACGCCACTATTGTACAAACGCTGGATAAGAACTAAAGGAACTCATATCGACGATCGGCACTTCGCCGTGATCTGAACACTGCGATGCTACCATCGGAATGCTATGTGAATCACAATCCCCACCGCGCCACCATCGGACCAGTATCGGAAGCTATATGATTGATGGCAATCGCGCATCCGTCATCGGGACGCTATCGGAGCACTATCGGAATCCCTTTCGAGACAGCACAGACCCCCGATCAGAAAATGTGATTTTCTATCACTTCGATCGGAAAACCGAATTTCCATCACTTACATCTGATATTTCGATTATCCTGGGAAGAGCTCGCGCTGGGCCCAGGGATTCCCAGGGGCCCGGGAGGGGCTGGGCCCCATGGTCACTGGCATCCCACAGGAGGAGGGGTGAAGGAGGTCGCCCACGCCTCGGAGGGCCCGGCCCCTGGCCCGCCCGAGGGGCTCCTCAGCGAGGGGGGCGGCTGGAGAGCGCACCCTCGTCATGGACGCTCGCGAAACCCTGCCGAGCGCCCGGCAGCTGGGCGCGGGGGGCATCTGAGGGCGGACAGGAGGTGCGCCCGCGGCTAAGGAGGCCATGGCGGGCTGGGCGGCGCGCGCGGCCCCTCCGCAGCTGGCGGAGGCCATGGTCGAGGAGGCCGCGGCGCACTTCGATGCGTCAGGAGCGCGCGCCGACAGCAGAAGGCAGGGGCGTGCTCGCTCGGACGAGAAGGCGCTGCCTGGAAGCGCCTCGGGCGCGGTTGGGGGCGCGTCGGGAATGCCCAGGGGGCCCTGGAGGGCAAGTGGCGGCCGACCGAAGGAAGGGGCAGGCGAGGCGCGGGATGTTGCCGCCTCAGCCCGAGGACGGCGGCCACGCGTCAACGGGGGCGGCCTCCTCGCCGGGGCCCGCCGCGCCAGTGGGGGGCAGGGCCCAAGCCGAGGCCGGGGCGCCGGAGGGCCCCCAGCCAAGGCGCCGTCGGAGCAGCCTCGTTGTCGGCCGCGCGCCACCCTGGCCCAGCCCAGTCCCTCCTGGAAGACGAGTGCCCAGACAAGACCTCCATAGAGGCAGGGAGCGACCCAGGCGCAGTTGCGCCGCGCAGGGCGGGGGGCTGCGACCGCCCGAGGGTGCAGTTAGAGCTGGGGGAAGGATGGCATTGCCGCATAACCTGCAGGAACTCTGAGGGCCGATGGCACGGGCCGGTCTGCGACGAGAAGAGGGGGGCAGCGCGCATCAGAGAAGCTCGAAGCTGAGAAAGCCGAGGTCGACGCGGACGCGGAGCTGCTGCTCGGGGAGCGGCGTCGGAGACGACCGACGTCGAGGCAGCTCTGTCGGCTCCAACCCCGGAGGCCATGAGCGGGGAGGACGAGGCGGCACCACCTCCAAAGGGGCGTCGCCTGGCAGCGCCGGGCGAGCCGGCGTGCTGGAGAAGGCGAGGCGCGGGGCCGATGGGCGAACGCGGACCTGCAGCAGCCGCGCGCGCCCGGAAGCGCACCGCGCACTTCCGCCGCGCCCCGGGGGGCCGCGACGGAAGCGGCCTCGGGGGCCGCGGTGCTGAGGGGGCGGCCATGCGGCTCGCCAGAATGCCCACGCCTGGAGCACAGCAATCCAGTTGCGAGCTGGCTCCCCAGCTACCGCTGCAACGTGCGCGCAGGCAGGCGCGCGGGCGAAGGCCGGGCGGGGGGCGGCGCGAGCCATTGCCCGCATTGCGAGAAGGACCCTCGCAGCCAGGAGCAGCAGGAGAGCGCCCCCCCTCCGCCCGAGGACAGGGGAAGTCGCCGCCTGAAGAAAAGATGCAGAATTCGCCGGCCCAACGGGCCAGAGGCGTGCTAAGATCTCCGGTGACTGCTTTACAATATTCTTCTTCGCGCGCGCGGGGCGGCCCCTGGGGGTCTCCCCACGAAAAGTACCCCGGCAAGGTCCCGGGAGACTCCCAGGAGGGTCCCGGGAGGTTCCCGTCAGAGATGTTCTCCCTCCTGGGTGCCGCCCTCGAGGTCCTCCAGAGAGCATCCAGACGCCCCAAAACGCCCCCAAGATGCTACAAGAGGGCTCCGAGATGCCACAAGATCGCTCCAAGACGCTCCATGTGGCCCCCAAACGCCCCAGGAGGCCTCCAAGAGCACTCCCAAGAGGGCCCCACTAGGCAAAATTCATTGCTTTTCCTTAGGTTTTGGTGAGATTTTGGTATTCCCACCCTTTCCGCTTTCCAACGCCCGACGACGGCCCAAGAGGCCCCCAAGACCGCTTCAAGAGTGCCCAAGAGCCCCCCACAAGGGCCTTACGACGAGCCAAGATGGCCCCAAAACGGCCCCAGAGGGCCCCAAGACGGCCCAAGAGGGCCCCAAGAATGCCCCAAGAGCGGCCCCAGGGGGGGAACACGACACAACATGTCCAGCCCTCGGCCCTAAGAAGCCCCCAGGAGGACCCCAGAGGCCCCTGAGAGGTCCCAAGAGGCCACCAGAAGCCCTCAGGAGACCCCCCAAATGCCACCCCCCAGCACGCAAGCAAGCGAAACAACATGTCCAGCCTTCGCCCCTACGAAGCCCCCAGGAGAACCCCAGAGGCCCCTGAGAGGTCCCAGGAGGCACCCCAGAAGCCTTCACGAGAGCCCCCAAATGCCACCCCCCAGCACGCAAGCAAGCAAAACAACATGTCCAGCCGTCGGCCCCAAGAAGCCCCCAAGAGGAGCCATGCGGCCCCTAAGAGGTCCCAAGAGACCCCCCAGAAGCCCTCAGGAGACCCCCCCCCCTCCAGCACGCAAGCAAGCGCTAGCGATGTGCTACAAGATCGGCCACTCGGCCAGTCAACGGCGGTGCGCGATATGGGCCGGCGGAATGAGCGAAGCGATTAAATAAGACGAAGAAGAAGAAGAAGAAAAAAAAGCGCAGGCAGAGCACCTAGCCGACGGAGACGAGTCCAGCACCATCGCCGAGGGGCTCGGGCCTGGAGGCCGGAGCGCCCGCCCCTACGAGGCCACGAGACGGAGAGGCGGGCAGCGGCAGTGCCAGCAAGGAGCACCCGCCTCCATCCCCGGCGCGCCCGCCGGGCATCCGATGACGCCGCCGCCCTCGGAGGCCCAGAGGAAGATGCTAGACCGCCATCGGTCAGAGGCGAGGCGAGGCGTCTCCACCTGCTCGAGCTGGGAGAGAGGCAGCCCCCAGCGAGGGTCAAGGAGGAGCCGGAGCCGGAGTCGGATGACGCGGTGCTGAGGCGCATCGGCTGCGCGGCGGTGGGGCGCCGATGCAAGCTGGCTAGACGCGCGCACGCTCGCCGCAAAGGAGAGGGTGACGCTGCGACGGGACGGGCCGCCGATGCGCCGAGGCCGCAGGAGGACAGGAAGCGCCCGAACCGCGCCCGATCGGTGGAGGGCCCAAGTGGGCGCAAGGCGCATTCAGCACCGCCGCGCCCCAGCCGTGGGCCAGCAGCCCTGCCCAGGCAACGGGAACCCCTCCCGATGCCAGACCCAAGACGGGCAGCAGGCGCCCTCGGCCCACCGCGCCAGGCTCCGACGTTCGATGACGAGGGCGGAGGAGGCGCAAGATCGTCTGAATCGCAGAGCGAAGGCCCATCGAGCGCTGAGGAGGAACCGAGGGATCAGGACATCCATGTCCAGGCCGGCGCGTCCTGGAGGCCGACGGCCTCACTGGTGAAGGCGGCCCCTCTATGCGAGGACGGGCTGCCAGTCCGCGACCCGAATCGGCCCGCTCACCTGGGGCGCGAGGTGCCGCGCCCGCCATCGCCAGCCTTTGGGGGGGCGCCGAAGCCGACGAGCCAGCTAGACGCGCGCAACCAGGCTCGCGGGCATGCGCTTGGACCTCCGCCCACTGAGGGTCGCCCACGTGCCGAAGGGGCCGCCAGTGGTGAAGGCCCCGCCGCGGGAGCCAACGCCGCCGCGGGGGACCCCCCTCCCCACCCGATGTGAGAGAACGGAGAGGGAGGAGGCGGCCAGGGCGGCTGCCTTGCAGGAGCGTGGCCGCGGGCGAACCAGGAAGGCGAGCCCCAGGCCCGCCGAGGGCAGCCAGGCGGGAGCTAGCTCGCACGACTCGGGGAACGAGGCTCACATCGACCCGGCGGCAGTTGCCCGCTACCTGAGGGAGACGCGCCGCGCGGAGAGCGCCAGCGCGGTGCCATCCAGCATCAGGGCGAGCCTGCGGTCTCTCGCTAAGAAAGACCTGGACGATGGTAGCCGCAGCGGCTCCTCGGAGCAGGGGGGGGCCCAGGCGCAGCTGGATCAGCTCGTGGATATCTGGGGCTACCCGGACCAGAGGACAGGCTGTCTAGATTGGGCTTTGGCGGCCATGTTGCCCAAGGAGGCGGAAGAGTGAAAGGCGGGCGCCAACGCCAAGCGGAAGAAGAAGCGCGGCATGACCGTGGACCCAGTGGTCCACCAGCCGCCGAACCTGCTGGGACCCGAGGCGGTGCTAGATAAGGCAAGTCTGGGCGACCTGATCATGGCGGATCTGAAGACGCGTGAGGACTGGGAGAAGGCGAAGCTAGCTCAAGCTCATCTTGGACAAGTTGGCGAGCTCCACCATCAAATCGCACAGTCTGGGCTGGCGCTGGTGGTCCCTTTCTGCAGAGCGCGCGGGACCAGCCCACTCAGGGAGGTCAATGAGGCCAACAGGAGGGAAGAGGAGGAGCTGCTGCTGGAGTTTGTCGTGCACCTGGCGAGGCGAGGGCACCAACAGGCGGACACCATCAAGCAGCACCTCAGCGCAATTCGGGCGATAAGGAAGCTGCAGCCTGATGCGTCGCGGGAAAGAGCGGCTCTGTGGGCGGCGGTGGCCACAAGCTACTTCTTCCTCCTGTGGGCTAGCGAATACGTGTCCAGCAACCAGAACGGCTACACGAGCAACAAGGGCTTGCGAGGGGTAGGCGTCATGCCGAAGATGGGGGGCGAGCCATGCGGGAGCTGGCCTAAGGCAGACGAGGTGGTCATCAAGATCCGGGCCAGTAGAATCGCGGCGAGTGGCGTAACCACTTCAAGGTCGATACGGCAGCAGGTGAAGAGGAGGAAGATCGCCTTTGCGTCGTGGAAGCATTGGCTGTCTTCGAGGGCTGGGCGAAGGAGGGGTTCTCGGGCGCGAGGATGCACGACCCGCTGTTCGCTTTCAGCGACGAGAAACTGGTCACACGGGCGGACATCCAGCGGGTGATGCAGGCGGCCGTGGCTGAGGGAGTCGACCCGAATGACCTCGGCTCCCACAGCCTGAGGATCGGGGGCGCATCCGCCCTGTACGCGGCGTTCAAGGACACAGCGTTGGTGCAGAGGTGGGGGCGCTGGAACAACGATGCGTTCCAGGGTTACCTCTAGGAGGCGAGGGACATGGCGCAGGGCGTGGCCAGCAGCATGGCAGCAGCGGACCTGACCATGATCTAAGGAAGAGGCGCGGCGGGCTGCGGTAGAGGAGCTTCTGAGGCTCAGTGCGCAGGGGCAGCACGCAAGGCTGTACAGGCCAGAGGCTGCAGCGCTGGGGAGGAGACCCGTGAGGCTTGAGGAGACAGCGGCCCGGTCGGGCAAGGAGAGGGCCTTCGTGGCCGAGAGCCAGCAGCAGCGGTGCGGATCAGGGTGAGGCAGTGCGGCTGCCAGAGGAGTGCCGGGAAATGGCAGGGCCAGGTCCCCCCTCCAGTGCGGGCGGGGGCCCCAGAGGGGGGCCCCGCGGCTCGCGGCGCGTGGCGAAGGCGCCAAGAGGAGCTCGAGGGTTGGGCAGCGGCTACGGCGACGCGCCGAGCCGAGAGCTCGCGCCTCGGCGGGCAGGATCGCCCGCCAGGCGCCTAAGGCCACGAGGAAAAAGGGTGCGCCTTCATCGTCATCACCGTCGGATGAGGAGGAAGGACTGGCGGCCCGAGGGACCAGGCTCGCAAGCCCATCGGCTCCGACCCGCTGGGGATGCAGGGGCGAAGATGTGAGAAGTAAACCATAATCATCATCACCATCATCATCATCACCATCAGCATCAGCATCAGCATCAGCATCAGCATCAGCATCATCATCATCATCATCATCATCATCATCATCATCATCATCATCATCATCATCATCATCATCATCATAAACATCATCAACATCATCATCAACATCATCATCATCATCGTCGTCATCCTCATCATCAGCATCATCACCATCAAAATCATCAAAATCATCATCATCATCATCATCATCATCATCATCATCATCATCATCATCATCATCATCATCATCATCATCATCATCATCATCATCATCATCATCATCATCATCATCACATCACATCATCATCACATCAAAAGCATCGTCCGGCATTCCTATCCTCCTCCTCCTCCTCCTCCTCCTTCTTCTCCTCCTCCTCCCCCTCCTCCTGACCTTGCACCTTCCTTCACATCGTGCCCCTCCTCCTTCTCCTCCTCCTTCTCCTCCTCCTCATCCTCCCATTTTTTCTTCGCATCCCTACCTTCCGCCCGTTTTTGAGATGTCGGGCGCGCGGCCTGAGGTGTACGCCTCCACGGCGGCCCTCGACAGCGCCTCCGGCGGCAGAAGATGCGCTTGGAGGAGGACAGCCCTCCTCCCCCTCCTCCCCCTCCTCCCCCCGACGCTGACGCTGCGGCGGGCCCAGATCCAGCCTCGGCGCCCTCGCTTCCACCCTCCTCCCCACCTCCTCCATTCTCCCCCTCCAAATTGCAATCCCTTTTCCAAATGAATACCTCCTCCCTGTCGTACCTCCAGGCGCGTCGGTAGGGCGGACTGGACGTTTCGCCTGAGACTTGCTCATGTTCTGAAGCTTGAGATCCCCCGCAGCTACCAAGATGGAGGGGGGTCGTGTGCAGAATGGAGATCGCGCCTGAGTGCCGCACAAATTTGTCTTCAAAATTTGCAACAGCTTCAAACATGGAGAGGGGTCAAAACTGGCTCTTTCGCCTCAGATCCGTGCGCGCATTCGTCTCGAAAATTTGCAGACAGCTTCACGGATGGAGGGGGGGCATTTTCGACATCGGGCTCTCTCCTTAGATCACATCGCATTCGTCTAAAAATGCTGCAACCGATTCAAGGGCAGAGGGCGGTTCCTTTTCCATCATGTGGCTTCGACCCAGCGCCACACACTTGCGTCTTCACATCCTCTAGCAGCTACAAAGGTTGAACACAGAGGACGGCCCCCTTTTCAACATGGGATTTTCACTTGAGCTTTCTCGGAATGCCAAGACAAGCGCTTCGAATCGGCATCGTAGCCGCACGGATGGAGATCGGCTCCTTTTTAAAATGGGGCTCTCCCCCTCACTGCGGGAGGCGCCCCCTGGAAAGACGAGCGCCCCGTGGGCATGCCATTCTGGCGAAAGCCTCGCGGCACAAAGGGTCCACCCTCCAGCCTTCCAGGCGATCGGAAGCTCACGAGAGTCGGGTCATGAATAGCACGCCCATTCAAGTGATACGCTTGCTCTGGACAACAGCAAACAACACCTTCCACCTGTCCAAACTGCTGCTGCACACGTTCAATATTCCCGCAACAGAGCTTGAAAACATGTTCGCAAGAACTCAAGATTGACAAATACTGGTCCACCACCCGTATAACCGTCACGTGCACAAAATGGAGCTGCGGGCTACAATGTTTACAACATTATCACCACCAACCACGTTCCATCAGTGTAGCTGACGGAACTGCCAAATTCCAAAAGCAGATGCGATAAGGAAGGCTCAAGCGAAACGCCTGCACCGCCTTGCCAGCACGTATGGTGGTACGGCGAGGAGGAGCTGCTTATGCACAGGGTAAAGTGATGATGGTGGAAGAGGAGGCGGAGGAGGGGGCACAGCGCCGCATGGGAGGAGGCGGGGGATGGGCATGGGGAAGGGGGAGGGGGGAAGGGGGGCCGAGGGCGAGAGCGGGGAGGAGGAGGTCGGGGAGGGGAAGAGGAAGCGGACGATGAAGCATCGGAAAGGTGACCCTGGGGAATAATCTCTTCGTGCGCGACTTCAGGGGGGACCGGGTGGGCCAAACCCAAGCGGGCAAGCCGCTGCCATCGCATCGCAGTCGCACCCGGGGCCAATCACTCTGGCGAGGGGCCACTCTCGCTTGTAGCCGGAGGAGGCGGAAGAAGGATGGGGGCCCTGGCGCCTCGACGGCTCCGAAGAGGGCCAGCCCCCCGTTCCGAGCCCGCTCGCCGTCGGGGCAGTTCCACAAGTATCGGGCGCCAGTCCCGTAGCCTTCGGGGCAGGGGAACGGGGGGAGACGGTGGACGGGGTCGGTCGGTTGGACGCGGCATCACAACAGTCTGTGTGCTGATCACCGTTAGACTTTTATTTCCACGGAGCCATTGTAAGGGCAAGGTGTGAGAGACGTCTGGGACAGCCGTGGGCCATTTTTGGAACAGGGAGAAGGGAGGAACAATGAACCCAACTCCTGTGCTCTCTGCGTTCCGCCCTCCGCCCTATAGCTGGGCAGGCGGGGGGAGGAGGGGAGCAGAGGGGGAGGAGGAAAGGGGGGGAGAAAGAGAGAGGAGGGAGACGAAGAAGTGGGGGGGGTCCTGGTGTCTGGGCAGAATCTGAAAGGACAGGGCTCCTGGGAGCCAAGGAAACCTGAAAGGAATCGCCTCAATGTTTGCCACAGTTGCACCGGTTAGCTCCTCTGGTGGGCTGTAAGAAAGAGAATCCAACGGTGACCCCGATTTGAAAATGAGCAGCTCTCCCTACGAGCGACTGTTCGACCGTTCCACACATGTCCCAATAAGTTCGGATAGCGCACACATCGAACCCCCCCTTTCGAAACAAAATTGCCCACCCCACTTGCAACTGGTGAACACGTTTGAGGTAAATGTGCGCGGCGCTGAGGCGAGAGCCACATGTTGAAGCCGGGCACCTCTCCATCTTCGTAACTGTTGGAAACGTGTAGGACAAACCTGCGTTGGAGGGTCATCTCAGTTTTACTGCTATTGCCAAACAGTTTTTGACACATTTGTCCTACCCCAGTCGGCCACTATCGGGGGATGGTGTGTGCATGAAAACTTGCGAACGCGGGTGCAAGTTGCACGCTGCATCGGCTCATAGTCTCATACAAGGTTATCCCCGACCTGTCTGAATACAATGAGCGGCAACTGGCATGATGTGCAGAGGCTGCCCAAGCAGTGGACGAGCACGCTGGGAAAGAAGACGCCATGCACCCTTACGATGAGCGGAACACGTTCGTGCAAACGGCAAAACGCGTGGCCACTATCATTGTTCCGTGGTTATTAGGCACTGGACTCGTGACCTAGAACTGAGCGAATACCTATGTATGAAGCACCCCTTTCCCACCAGTTCCGTCGTGGCTCCCCAAAACGTGCTCCCCAAAAAAATGGCATGGGATGGGCGCCTCAAAAAGTTCAGGTGCTAAGCTGCTGGACCCAGGGTTGAGAAGGCCGGACTTGCTCGGAACTGTCCTGCCCAAACTTGGTTTGTCAATCGTTTAGAAATGACGGGATCCTATCCGCCACCGTGCCTGCTCGGAATGGGCGTGTTGGAATGCCTGGTTTGCTGCCTGGGAGGTGATTGAAGTTTTCTAGTGCCGCCCCCGCCCCCCCCCCGTAGCGCGCGCCATTCAAAAGTCACCCCCCTCAGAAATTGCTTCCTGGCTTTCTTTTCAACCTCCACCAAAGGGCCAAGATGGTCTCCATGACGGCTTCCCAAGCAGTCATGATGACACCACGGCGGCCTTAGATAGCCTGGGACGGTTTGAGAGGGTCCCAAGACGGCCTCAAGACAGCTCAAGAGGCTCCTATGGCTGCCCGGGATGGCTCCAAGAGGCCCCCCAAGAGAGCCCGAGGAGGCAACAACACTTGGTTTCTTTAGACACTGAGAGGATTTTTAAGCTCTCGTCCAGTTCGTCTGGAAGGAAGGTTGGTGGGCGACACTGTCCAGCTGCCCCAGCTCGAAAATGTCTCGGCTGCCAGAGACGACTGCGCCCATAATTGCGTCCCATGCTTGAAGTGCTCTGCGACATTGTACTTGCAGTTCCTTGTTCCACTTTAGGTCGACCCGCTGACGCAAGTTCGGTTTCGTCGTCCAGCCTTTGCTCCATGAGCATCGCGTCTTTGTCGTGAACCACCTCAGATATATCTTTCTTATCCTTGTCAACCTTAGTCTTAGCCAGATTGCCCACTCCGTTTTGCACAGGTGCTGTCGCGGTTGCCAATGGTGTATCTGGTTGCCGTGAGGGTGGTACTTGGTGTAATTGAACATCTCCATGCTGCGCGCATGCTGATGATCCTTGTCTGGAGGCTGATGCCGATCATCTGGCGGTCGTTCTGGTCGTTGGTATTGTTGCTGATCTGGCTGTTGATCCTGTTGATGGTCTGGATGTTGCTCCAGCTGAGCTGGTTGTACTGGTCGCCTCGTAGGTCGAGCGAGCCCCGCTGTCCAGCTCGCCCTGGTGCTGGTCCACCTTCTGAGGACAGCTAGGTAAATGGCCACGTGTTCACCTCGTCGTCGGTTGCAGTGCGCAGTAAACTGGGTGCGCTCAGGATCGGGACCCGATTGTGGGGAACAGCCAGAGACCGAGCAGGTGCAGGTCCATGCCGTCGAGCATGTAGGTTCCTCTTGGGATTGTCCGATCCCTAGAGCATCAGTAGATCGCCTTGCTGGAATCCCCCGAGCTGTTGGTCTCGCCCTTGCTGGAACGCCCCCACAACGCCGATGAATTCGCTGCGCGCGAGAAATCCCCCGAACATATCTGCTGTAGACGCAGTCGGTTCCCCCAAAAACGTATTCTCAACCGCTCTTGGAAAGCGCTGCTGGGCTGCTGCCCTGTTTGGCCAGCTCCAAGTGCCTACTGCTGCGCGGCGAGAAGCCTGATGTACTCACCACTTGATTGCGCGCCTGACTCATGCCGCGCGCTGCTGCTGCCGCCGCGCCCAGACTCCGAACTTCTCCGTAAAGACACTCGCCGCTATCTCCTTCCAGTAACGCATTCCCCTCTCGACCTTGCTCATCTGCCAGTGAGCTTCAGGAGCCGCGCTGTTAATCGCGAGCCCCAGATCGCCGCGCAGCGCCTCGAGCTCGCCCGTGACGACAAAGTCCTGATGTTGCTCCACCGCCCTCGGCAAGCCCAGACGAGACATCCAAGCGCAACCGACTCCTTCGCCAGCTCGGCCGACGGCCCGCCGGCCTCAAACTCGGGCCGGCGCGGATGGCAACTGCAAAGTCCGATCGATCCTTGGACCTTGGTTGAGCTGCTGTTCGTCTCGGTGCCGCCCTAGTCTGCCCCTCACAGGTCGCACATTTGAATGGGCGTGCAGCTTGAACACTTCGCCGGCTAGCTCCACCGTGCTGTAGGCATCGTGCCAGCGACTCCTTGCAAGGTCCATGAGAATGGCTCTGGTGTGTTTTCATGATCGCTGTCCGCAGTAGCGGTGGCACTGCCGCCCTGTCCGCCATCTCGACACTATTGCCGTGCTCGCTGAAGATCGTGGCCGCACTTGCGCGCATTGGTGCGTCTGCTTCTGCTGGATGTGCCTCAATCTCCTCCAGATCGTTGGCGTGCGTGCCTAGCGTAGCCGCCATGCTGCTTTTCGAAATACTTATGGTCCTCGGTGCCATCCAGAATCGTCTTGGCCAGCTCTGCCGCCCAGTTGCCAAAGCTTGATGATGCCCCCATCGGCCTGCTGATCGCGCTGGCGAGGATGTGCGCGCAATCGCATTTTACTTCATGTAACTCGTTCCCCAACGTGGCCACCACCGTCAGGAAACGGGTCGGTTTCTTCACCGCGCCCCCTGGATATCCACCAGGCTGCTGCCATCCGTGCACTGATCCGTCAGTGCATTCACGAACTCGTCTCCCAGCCATGGCATGAACTTCCACGACTTGGATGTCAACGGGCTCTCCAGAAGTAGTCGTGCTCCTCGACGTTTGCAAATGATCCAGACCTTCCTGAAAACCCGCACACGCCTCGTGCCGATCGCCAGCTTCACATTCCAGGTCACCTTCGGGAACGCATGGGGTACGTTCGTGAACGCGTCGGCGACGCAGGCGCCGTCCTCGCCCGGATGCTCCAGAGCCTTGTCCTGCATTCTGCTGTCCAGCAGGTCGTCGCCCATCAGAAGATCCCATGGTCGGGAGACCAGGTGCCCCCTCGCATGGGTCTCTGGGGCAGTGGCCATGGCGCCCGCGCGCAGCTCGCAGATGGTAGGCGCTCCTCCGCGGGGTCTGCACGCGGTGTCTCCGCGATCTGCTTGCACTTGTCGAGTTTGTCCTGGATCTCAGTTTCCACGCCTCGATGTGTTTCCGGGCCTCTGCGCTCCAGTTCTCAGTCGTCGGCGGCGATTGCCGGCGCCGTCTTCTTGCTTTCCCGCTGCGGGCAGCTTCCATCTCTGAGCGCATCGCGAGGTGGCCTTTCTCCGTCTTGTTCAGCGGCACCCCCGCAGCTGTCGATTGCTCTGAAGTCCGCCTTCAGCGCCTCGATGTAGATCGCGGTCTCGAGGTCGCCCATCTGGCGGATGCCCAGGAGAATCGGCGCCTTGGACGTCGGCGGTCTCTCTGGAAGCGTGTCTTCGCGCCAGCTCCAGCGATTCCAGCCGCCTGTTCCCGCTCCCCTCCTGCTATGGCCGGGCGCTGTCGTTCGCGCCTCTGGACCGCATGGGCGGTCTTCATCCTCACAGACAGGCTGCGTCTAGCACGGCGGGCACGGCGGGCCCTTCTGAATGTGCCCCTTTCTCGCCGCGTCAGCCTCGACGCCTTCCAGCTCCTCGCGTCTCGGCATGCAGCCGCAGTTCTGACGCTGGTCCTCTGGGAACGCGCGTTGACCCAGATCGCTGCCATTGCCGCGGCCAGGTCGGTCGCAGTTCACGCGGTACCCCTTCACGTGCTACCCCGACTATCTCTCGCAGCGCGCGGGCGTTGCCCCGCGCGCCCTGGCGCGTCGCAGGCCATGGCGGCTAGCCCATTCGAGGCCATCTCCATCGCGACGCAGGCTAGCTGATCGAGCCGATGACGCGCCCAATCCACGCGCCACTCCATCCAGCCCTAAAAGGCTGCCTCTTGATCCTCGCCCGTTCTGCACGCAGGCTGAAAGCTGTTCAGACCTGTCCTTGATCCGGCTGATCTCGTCAAGAGTGCCGTCGTCATAATCTGCGCTCGAACTGCTTGACCACGTTCTTGATGTATCTGACACTGGTGAAAGATCTGGCCTTGGATCGTCATCCGCGTCCTCGGGTAGCGGCGACAGTCCAGCCAG